TAGATAGCTGTCCGTATATGTAAGATAAAATATGATATCTGGTACTATCTAGATAGTACTTCGTACCATCTATTACTCTCCGTATGTTCCGTATGTAATTTGCCCGCTTTTATAGTAATTGTAATTTTCAATAAATTATAATTATTTATTTATAATTGATAAATAAAACAATAAAATTACCCTGGCGGATTTGATTTAGCTAAATTCGATAAGCTATCTAGCTTATCCACAAGTTTTTCAAAGAAAATGCCGAGCATTAAATTCGTCATTAGGGTATTAAATTAGCCCTTAATTTTCAAATAGGTTTTATCCAGATCAGACAATGTGGACAAGCCAGGTTAACGGACCTATTTTTAACAGTGTACGGTCCCACAGCCATAAGACACATACAGACTCGTCCAAATCAATCGACTCCAAAACTAGTCGCGACTGTGTGAGGGTTAACCCTACACAGCCGTCTGCACACCAGCCTCGAAGTCAATTTACTTCACTTCCAACGATACATTAACTAAGGAGCTGGATCCAAGAACCGACACATCGCTAGACCGCACGCGCTCATCCCAGTCAGGTAGCAGTGAACGGCTCTAGGTAACACACTGCTACCCGACTGTGATGAGCGCATACGTTCGAGCGATGTGTCGGTTCTTCGATCCAGCCTATCAATTCGCTGTGTTGTCACTAAAGTAGGCCAGCGCGAACGTTAAGGAAGAATATTTAAAAAAAAAATGTTAATTCTTATGTCACTGAGCTACTCTCTAAAACTGAATCAGTGGAATTTGACTGAGAATTAGTGGGTCTATTCTCGCGATTTTATTCAGTGAATTTTCACTGAAAATCAGTTTAAAATGACTGAAATATCAGTCATTTCCAATTAAAAAAATCAATGAAAAATGACTGATATTTTAGTCATTTTTAACTGATTTTCAGTGAAATTTCACTGATTGAAATCGCGAGAATAGACGCAATGAGTCTCAGTCAAATTTCACTGATCTTCAGTGGAATTTTACTGATTTAGATTTAGAGAGTAGGCTAGCGCGAACGTTAAAGAACGATATTTTTTTTAAATTCTTTTGTCACTGAGGTAGGCCAACGCGAACGTTAAAGGATTAGAAATTTTTTTTTAAATTACAATACTGTATAATGAAATTCAATATTCAGATTTGCACTTTGGTAAATAATAATTTTGAAAAATCGTGTTGTCCCTATACAATTTTAGGCCGCTTCCAGAATGGAGACGCAAACGAATCCCAATGCTAAACGAATGGGGTTGCGTTTTCGTCTCCATTCTGGAAGCGGCCTAAATATAATGCCTTTCAAGTGTAGAAGCGCGTACGTAAAAGAAGAAGCTTTAGTGATTAAAAGTCTAAAATATCACGTCCACGGTGTAAGACTAAGATCACACTGTGGTCGCGTTACTAGCACACCCATGACTGCTAATATTTTAAACCAGTTGACATAACCTGAAAGAAACATTTGTACACGATGATACACATGAAAGTAAAAACGAATGATAAAATACCTACTACTTCTGAATTATTTAATGTAAAATAATCACGGTGGGTCTGAATAAATTTCAACCCAAAAGTGCTTGAGTATCAAAATTTCTTCCTGATTTCTTTTCTAGGATGTCTCCTGATAACTTTGAGCCCAAAAAAGAAAAAATCGCTTGGGCCCTTTTTGAAAAAACTCATTTTTTCGATATTTTGAAAATATCACTAAACATATTTTTTAAGAAAAGGGATAATAGTAAGGTTATTAAAGTTTTAAATCATTTAAATTAACATAAATGAAAAGTCCCTAGGTGCTGAATTCCTTGCAACAAATAAAATCCACAAAAAAACCGTGTAAAATGTGTTAAAAAGTCAGTTTTTTGAAAATTACTCTCTTCCATTGCATTTTAACCAGTTAAGGCCAGGTCCAAGTGGTGTCAGCTGTTCCATTGAAACTTCAAAGGAACAGCTGACTCGACTTGGACCTGGCCTTAAAGACCTATACGTAAATTAAAGCTTATAAAATTTTCTATAAATTAAAAAAAAATTGATCGAATTATCTTTAAAACTGTTGGAGTTAAAATTTCCAAACAAAAAATAATAATTTCAGATTTTGTGAAATAACTAGTTTCCAGTAAATCTAAAAATACTTCTACTTTGAAACAATTAAAGTTGACATAATTTTGAGGAAATCAAAAAAAAAAAAAAAAATAGCCTTCCAGCTTAATTAGAAGCGAAGTTATGACCGTCTGAAAATTACTCTCTTTCGTTTTATTAATTTTTATTTCTATAAGATCAACTATTTTAAATTTGATTAATTTGGACAATGTTAGTTATAAAATCAGTAATATTAAGTTAATCAAATTAGAAAATAAGAAATATATTATTATTATGAACAAACAACTTTTAAACAATCTTAACAAAAATAGTCTTCATTCGTTCTATGGTTCTATGGTTTCTGAAAAAAGTGGATCGCCTCTCACTGCTGGTGTATGATCCCAGAACCTTCTTATTGCCGGTAAGATGCTCTACCAATTGAGCTACAGAGAGACCCGATTCCACTCAATTCAGAAACCATGCACACGACTTTTCAACGTCAATATTAACAACTTTAGAAAATATCTAGTGAGGATGGTAATTTTGTTTTGAATTTAATATTGTAGTTACGATGGTAAATTAAAATTACCATCCTCACTAGGTAAAATAATATGATTCAACTTTGGAATTTTGTTATATATAGTAAGACTAATCTTTAACGTAAATTTCAGCCTAAAATATTTGTTAGTTTACGAGATTTGCAATAATAACAAAAAATTTTAAACTGCTATATTTTCCGTTCTAATAATCGGATTGAGGTCTACTTTTTTTTAAAATGTCAAGGAAAATGAGAGTAAATGCAAGTTTAACTTATTTAATTTTAATAATTTACGAGTATAAACAATTGCGATTTCTGCTAGTTGACGTGCAGACGACATTGCGCACGCAGCATTCTCACGTAGTCAATTTAGTCCACGAATCACGTCAGCTGGTTACAAGAGAATGCTGCGTGCGCAATGTCGTCTGCACGTCAACTAGCAGAAATCGCAATTGTTTATACTCGTAAATTATTAAAATTAAATAAGTTAAACTTGCATTTACAATTGGATTCCTTTGGAACATTAAAGAAAACACTGGTAAGATCATTTTAGCGTTTAAGTGATTGAATTTTAGATTGTCGCATGAAATTTATTCAATTATTATTTAATAATTTTTTTAATTGTAAAATTATAAAAAATTGTTCTGAAAGAGATTTATTCCTCTCATTTTCCTTGACATTTTAAAAAAAAGTAGACCTCAATCCGATTATTAGAACGGAAAATATAGCAGTTTAAAATTTTTTGTTATTATTGCAAATCTCGTAAACTAACAAATATTTTAGGCTGAAATTTACGTTAAAGATTAGTCTTACTATATATAACAAAATTCTAAAGTTTCATTGCAATCGGTTAACCTACTCCGAAAAAGTCAAAATCTCACCTGGAATCGCACTTATGTACACGTCAATACGATAGTAACATAATACCTACTACAAAAACTTGGTAGTGAATAACAACATTCAACCCCCATAACAAAAGGATATCCATAGGATATCCATATCAATGGTCGATATCCTAGAATGGTCCCCAGGATATCCAAACCGCTGGTCTGTGGGACATCAACAGGACATCCATAGGATATCCCTAAGACATCCACAAAATATCTATTGGATATTATATCGCAGGATATCCATGGAATATCCTCAGGATGTCCGTGGGATATTCTTAGGATATTCACGGGATATTTAATATTTCAACATATATTTTTAAAGGTTAAAATTGTTAAGCTAATATAATGAATAATAATATAATAAAACATAAATCTTATGAGCTTCTAATTTATTTTAAATGAAGATTTGAAAAGCATTTTTCAAAGTTTTTAAATAAACTCATGGACTTAATGTATAATTAATATTAATAGTTATTCGTTATTTGCGGGGAAGAATTTATATTGTTTAAAGCCAATTTATTTTCTGACAATATTAAGCATATGAATAAAGGAATGAATCACGAATGAGAAAAAAATTAGTTAATAATTTTTCAAATTAAACAACTTTCTCGAAAAACAAGTTGCATTTTATTTTATTTATATAAAATTTAATTCACAGAATATTCTCACTCGTAGTCTCATAATGACTTTAAAAACAGTATCCTGAGAATATCTTCTTGACATCCAGAAGATATACTGAGAATATCCTGAAAATATCTGTGGGATATCCTGACGATATCTATGGGATACCTATCTGGAGGACATTTATGAAAGTCGATAGAGATATCCAGAAGATATCCTCAGATGTCCAAAGGATATACAAACCGCCGATTTTTTGGATATCCTTAAGAGATCCTTTTGATATCCATAGGATATCTGCGGAATATTATCAATATATCCCAAGATATCTTGTGTTATTAGGGAATAACAATATTCACTTCAATAAAAAATATCTACTGAAAAATCAGTGATTATGTTCTACTGATTAAGTTCAGTGACTTTACTGATTTTTTAGTAAAAGAAAAAAAAGTCACTGTTTGACCAGTGAATATTACTTTTACTGATTGAAATAGTAAAAATTCCACTGATTCAAATTAAAAGAGAATTGATAATAGAATGAGAAATCAGACGCGCGTTATTTTCTCTATAGTATTATATTTTTTACTATATTATCTATCTATTTTTATTTATATAGTTATTAACTATATGCCCTGTCAGACATCATACAAAAAGGTTTTTCACCATATAATAAAATGAGAAACTGCTCACTATTTAGATAGAATATTAAAAAAAAATAAACATGATACTCGCTTGACAGGTGAATAATAAGCAAATGCACTTTTAGTAAGATAAATAACAATAGATGATTTTGATTATTATTCTTACAGAATAAACTGAGTACTGTCAAACATGGTTTTTAAATTGAATAAAATATTATACACAAACCTTAGGTAAATCGCGAATGTGATTTGCATCAAGCAGAAGCTCTTCCAAGCTTCGTGTGTACCTAAGAATGTCATCAGGAACATTTGGTAGAGAGCAATGCCGCTTGTCAACATATTCTACCTGCCTGTTACACCCTTTAAAAATCGGAATGCAACGAAACATAATTATTGTACTCTAAACACGTCCATTCACAATTAAACGCAACTTATTTTATAATTCACGAACGGTATTTTATGATATACGCACATTCTTCACAAAAAAAACAGTAACAAAAACTTTTATAAATAAACCTTCATTTTTCTTCCAATATACACCTTTAACACTAAATTAATTTTAATTACATTTACGTGCACACCGTAAAAAAAAAATGTCGCTCGTGTACATGTCAGTAGTAGGATAACAAGTAATCATAAGTATAAATACATGCAACCACCCTATCTCGACTGAACTTTTGGATTCTGTAATATAAAGCTGCTTTTACAATGAAGATACAAAGTCTGATTCCACACTTAGGGCGCCGTCACATGACAGTGTGAGACGCCGGCGTAAAGCGGAAAGCATGAGAACGGAAGAAATGAACATATCTAGGCCTTTCTCCAATAGGATCCTAAACTCTTGCGTTGCGTATGCATTGCGTCGGTTGCTATTGGCAACCAATGCTAAAATCAACGCGTCAGTCACGCAACGCAAAAGTTTAGGTTCCTATTGGAGAAAGGCCTTCTAAGGCCTACGGAAGCGCCTACAAGTCACCAGCGAACTATTTTGTTCGCGTCACATTTTTAGCTGTGAAACCGAGGAACGCGTTCGATGGTTTCGCTGTTTCCTTGTTTTTGAGTGACGATAAAGGCGCTTGTATACCTCACCGATCCCGAGTATACTTCTGTCGTGTACCATTGGAGTAAAAGAGACAAAAAGATATTTCCGTCTCTTTTACTCCAATGATACACGACGCAAGTATACTCGGGATGGGTGAGGTATACAAGCGCCTTAAGGCTGCAGTCCCATGGCAGCGTTTTGCGTTGCGTTTTGTCACTAGACCGTGAGTGTAAACATAGCAAACATATATCTGCATCTCCTTTAAGGCCTTTCTCCAATAGGAACCTAAACTTTTGCGTTGCGTGACTGACGCGTTGATTTTAGCATTGGTTGCCAATAGCAACCGACGCAATGCATACGCAACGCAAGAGTTTAGGATCCTATTGGAGAAAGGCCTTTACACTCAGGGTCTAGTGACAAAACGCAACGCAAAACGCTGCCATGGGACTACAGCCTAAAACACACTGTACGATTCGATAGTTCGATGGTTCTCTGGTTTTACTTAGTTCTATCGTTATCGAAGTCTAAATTTTGTATTAAAAAAATAAATTTAAATTTAAAAACCGAAATATAATAATATATTTAAATTATATATTTGAGATATATCAGATATCTTATAATGTGTGCCTAAAAAATTATTTTATTTAAAAATAATAGTACAAAATATTATTTTGAAGTAAGTTGATTTGTTTGCATTTTATATTTGTACAATACTATTAATATTTTGTACTATTATTTTTAAATAAAATAATTTTTTAGGCACACATTATAAGATATCTGATATATCTCAAATATATAATTTAAATATATTATTATATTTCGGTTTTTAAATTAAAATTTATTTTTTTAATACAAAATTTAGACTTCGATAACGATAGAACTAAGTAAAACCAGAGAACCATCGAACTATCGAACCGTATAGTGTGTTTTATCGTCACTCAAAAACAAGGAAACAGCGAAACCATCGAACGCGTTCAGGCCTGAGCAGAATAGAAACGTAACCGGAATCGTAATCGCAAACGCAACCGGAAGAATGAGTTAGAGAAGGACAAACAATATGTCTATCCTTCTCTAATTCATTCTTCCGGTTGCGTTTGGGATTACGATTCCGGTTACATTCCTATTCTGCGTTGGCCTTTCCTCGGTTTCACAGCTAAAAATGTGACGCGAACAAGATAGTTCGCTGGTGACTCGTAGGCGCTTCCGTACTCTCCAGAATGGAGCTAAACGCAACGCATCCCCATTTGCTTAGCATTGCGATGCGTCGCGTCTGCGTTGCGTTTAGGCCTTTCTCCAATAGGATCTTAAACTCTTGCGTTGCGTATGCATTGCGTCGGTTGCTATTGGCAACCAATGCTAAACTTTTGCGTTGCGTGACTGACGCGTTGATTTTAGCATTGGTTGCCAATAGCAACCGACGCAATGCATACGCAACGCAAGAGTTTAGGATCCTATTGGAGAAAGGCCTTTTAGCTCCATTCTGGAGAGGGCCAACTTGTGTGTTCTTTACGACAAGAACATTGAAACATCGATTTTCTGTATGCTATACATGAAACAAGCATAAGTTGGTTTCGCCTCGTTACGAGGTGGCGCGTAGAAGCTTCCGTACTTTTGTACGGAAGCCCTAACGGCTCACCAGCGTCTCAGACGCAAGTGGCGATATTTCGTACCACTAGTGGGACGGAGTTCGTCCAACTACTGGTAAGAGTTGTTCACTTTAGGCTTAATGCTGATTCTAAACTTACCTAAAACTGCGCGAGAAATCCGCATTTGCGTTACGTTTTTTATATATATAGATATAGTTGAATATGGGAAGCGTGACGGAAAAGCGGACCGCTCGCTCAGTTTTCGGTGAGTGTAGAATCATCATAAGGCCTGAGCAGAATAGAAATATAACCGGAATCGTAAACGCAACCGAAAGAATGAGTTAAGCAGCGTCTACAATAAGCGCGTCGAAAGTGGACGCGAACGTGGACGTGCTGACGTCACAATGTTATTCAAATGGGTGACGTCAGCACGTCCACGTTCGCGTCCACGTCCGACGCGCTCAAACGCGCTTATTGTAGACGCTGCTTTAGAGAAGGACAAACAATATGTCTATCCTTCTCTAACTCATTCTTCCGGTTACGTTTGCGATACGATTCCGGTTACGTTTCAATTCTGCTGAGGCCTTTATACGGAAGCTTCTATGCGCCATTACTAAGCACTCACTCGCATTACGAGGCACATATCTACGGAAGCCTGTACGGCTCACGAGCGTCTCGGACGCAAGTGGCGGTGTTTTGTACCACAAGTGGCACGAAGTCCGTCCAACTTGTGGCAAGTTCGTTAGTTCGTGCCACTTGTGGAAAGTGAATTTTTTGAAGGGTCATTCACAAATATGACAATTCCGTTGGATCCTGTTGCCGTACGTCTATTTCGTCAGTGCTTTTCATTTCAAATATAATTTCATCCTGGCAAGTCCGTTTAATGTTTTTGAATAAAAATGAATTTGTTATTTTTTAATTGAAAATACATGTAAAAGATTACATTTCAGTGTAAACAAATGATATTGACATCTTTATTAATCTTAAATATTCATAAAAATATACTTTTGATTTTAAAAAAAAAAACCTCTTCATGTATTTTAAATTAAAAAATGACAACATAACCAAAAAATCTTATTTTTATTCTAAACTAAGAAAAATTAAAAAAACTAAGAAAAAACTTCCGCTTAACTCTTAGTGGAATCCTTAGTTTATTAATATGTATATTTACGTTTGGAAGGAGTATTTATGTGTGAACTATAAAAAGTTTGTTCGATGACATTTACTAATATGCTAATATTACTAATATTTTATAAAATTCATTTCTTCTTCTTCACATGAAATAGAAATGAAAAGCACTGACGAAATAGACGGCAACAGGATCCAACGAAATTGTCATATTTGTGAATGACCCTTCAAAAAATCCACTTTCCACAAGTGGCACGGAGTCTGTCCAACAAGTGAGTGGCACGAAGTCCGTCCAACTTGTGGCAAGTTCGTTAGGGTACGGTCACACGACTTTTGGAAAAACCATTCTTGTCTTTCTCTCTCCTATTACAGACGCATAAGTTTGTCTCACTCTGCATTTTCCGTCTTTGGGAAATGTAAGAAAATGCAGAGTGAGACAATCTTATGCCTCTGTCTTAGGAGAGAGAAAGACATGAATGGTTTTTCCAAAAGTCGTGTGACCGTACCTTTAGTTCGTGCCACTTGTTGGACAGACTCCGTGCCATTTGTGGAAAGTGGATTTTTTGAAGGATCATTCACAAATATGACAATTCCGTTGGTTCCTGTTGCCGTCTATTTCGTCAGGGCTTTTCATTTCTATTTCATGTGAAGAAGAAGAAATGAATTTTATAAGATATTAGTAATATTAGCATATTAGTAAATGTCATCGAACAAACTTTTTATAGTTCACACATAAATACTCCTTCCAAACGTTAATATATACATATTAATAAACTAATTTGTTTACACTGAAATGTAATCTTTTACGTGTATTTTCAATTAAAAAATAACAAATTCATTTTTATTCAAAAACACTAAACGGATTTGCCCGGATGAAATTATATTTGAAATGAAAAGCACTGACGAAATAGACGGCAACAGGATCCATTGGAATTGTCATATTTGTGAATGACCCTTCAAAAAATCCACTTTCCACAAGTGGCACGAACTAAAGGCCTAAGCAGAATAAATTCTTGAACGGGAAGGCAAACGTAAACGGAAACGTAAGAATGTGTAAGAGAAGGATAGCAAATATCTTTATTCTTCTCTCACTCATTCTTACGTTTCCGTTCACGATTGCGTTCCCGTTCAAGAATCTATTCTGCTTAGGCCTTCACGAACTTGCCACAAGTTGGACGGACTTCGTGCCACTTGTGGTACAAAACACCGCCACTTGCGTCCGAGACGCTCGTGAGCCGTACAGGCTTCCGTAGATTCGAGGTGTGACGTCAGAGGCCTGGAGGGACAACAAACAGACAACACAATGTTATTCTCATGGGGAAGAAAATTAGTTTCCACTTTCATCAATTTTATTCATACTTTAAACATGGAAAACGCTTTTTGACATATATAATAAAATTAAGATGACTGTTGATAATTAATTTTGTTATATATTTGATTTAATTGCATTGATAGATTCTCTAAATTCGTGATAAAATATAAATTTTGAGGTTAGGGGTGTTTGTTTACCAACTTGAAATCTGTTACTGCTGCGGTAATTCCCACTTAAAATATATATTTTATATCTTTTTTAATAACGTGCATACTGGATATTGTTTAATAATGTTGTTAAAATATAAAATGTGATTAGTAAATAAACACCCCTAACCTCAAAATTTATATTTTATCACGAATTTAGAGAATCTATTAATGCAATTGAATCAAAAATATATAACAAAATTAATTATCAACACACATTTTAATTTTATTATATATGTCAAGAAGCGTTTTCTATGTTTAAAATATGAATGAAATTGATGAAAGTGGAAACCACGATGTAAGAATAAGGAGTCTTCACTTTGAAGGAAAAATGTCCCCAAATCTGGTAAAAGCATTCCGGAAAATTAGAATAGTCGGAGGTGGCGTTCGTAACGGGAAAAACCT